GAGAGCTGGGACAGGGGCTTCATTTCCTGGCCCCTCATTTCCCTGCTGCGACAGAGCGGAGGAAAGCGCAGGGGCCTGGGAGCAGGTGCCTGCACCGCCTGCTGCCTCCAATCTGCTGCCTTGGCCCTGCACAGCATGTCTCTCTGAGTGACTCATTACGCAGCCTGGGGTGGAGGCACGTATTTCACAACCCGGCTCCCAGTGACGTGCTGCCCACATCTCCGGGTCTCCCGCCTCTCCCAGACTCTTGTGGGGGGGCACTGTGCACCATGTGGCAGATGCTGGCCCTGGGCCTGTTCCCAGCTGCACTCGGCGAATCTGGACTCGCGTCACTTGGAGTCCGTGGCGTCACCGTCTCTGCCGGCGCCTCTAGGAGCCGGGCATGGGAGCACAGCAGTTAAGGCATTTCACGCTGGGTCCAGAGGCGGGAATCTGAGCTTTCCTCCGCTCCTGAGCCCGAGGCCCTGGGTAGCTGCAAATAGACTCCTGCCCATCTGGGCTGGGCGTCCAAGGTGATCAGATGTGATGCCACCCACACCGTGGCTGTGTGCTGCTGGCCGAGGATCTGGGCTGTCCTGTCCAAGTGAAGCCTGGCTGGGTTTCTGGCCATTTCTTTCCAGGCAGGGGCAGACCCCAGCCTACTGTGCACCGCATCTGGTCCTTGTTTGCATGCTGAGCTGTGAGGCTAGCTGCTCCTATCGCCCCTCTTGTGTTCATATAAAAGTGTCGTAGAGCTGCCTCCCCATCCCATACAAGAACATACCATAAGCTGCTGTACCTTCCCCCCCCAAGTATAAATTACCTTCCCCCCCAGCCCCTGGAGGTATTTACTTGCTGTTCCTGCTTGCTGTGTTTTCCCCCTCCCCATGGAGGAAGCCACTGGGGACTGAGAGACCATTTGGAAAAAAATAATCATCCTACCTCATATCCTGCCTTAATCTAATAGACTGGTCATCGGGAGGTCTCAGAGGCAGGAAGGAGATATGCCTCTTGACAGGATATCCAGAGAAAAGCTGAGACAGAAAAGCAAAATGACAAAGACCCGCTGGTCCTGGTTTTTGGAGGGCTGCAAACATACTCCTCTGTTTAAATCAAAGCTGCGAGAGGCAAGGAGTTTTGTGGGTGGTTTCTTTTTGCTGGACCAGCTGCACGGCTGGGAGAGACAGAAAGCTGGTAGTTCACGTGACTCCAAGAGGTGGAGATTTAAGGCGCGGGGAAAGCACTGGTTCTTGTGAGGCCCAACCTGGGCTCTGGGGAGGATTTGAGGTCGTTTCCAAGCACTGGGCCCACAGCCCCTGGTTTCTGCGCTCAGATCCAGAGAGCTGCTCCAACAGGATCTGCCCCAGCCCTGGAGTCACCGGGGAGGAATGTGCTGGTGGAGCATGTACCGTCGGCTCTCCCAGCATGTTCCTGGGCTGGCCCAGCCCTTTAAGGAGACAGTATGTGAGCACGACACCTCCCCAAGGAACTTGATTAAGCTGGTCCCAGCAAGTGAGCTCCTAGAGCTGGATGTGGGGCATCCCCGCCCTTCCTCTCCAGTTGGGAGGAGTAGCAGGCTGGGCTATGTGGGCTGAGGGGCAGGGACTAGAGGAGCATCAGAGCCCGGCAGAGGAGTGAGAAGACAGGCAGGGAGATGGAGCTGCTCAGAGCCCGAAGGAGTGAGCTGGAGTCCGGGGCAGCTGGGATGGTTAAGCTGGGAGTCAGGGCAGGACCTGGGATCTCCGCTTTCCCAGTGACGAGGTACAGGGCATGGATCAGCTCCGCTGGGTTCTGCTGGAGTCGGGGAGGAGGGTGCTTTGGCCCATGGGCAGGGCCTGGGGCATGGGAGGGCATGGGGGAAGGCACAGCTCTGCACTGCACACCCCCTGGAGAGGCCCAGATCCAGATCCAAACTCTGCCGCCCTCAGCACTGCTCCTGCTCCCCTTCCTGTTTCCTCGCCACTGGCAGCAGACAGGAGGAACTTGAAAGCCCTTTGCACAGACCACATTTCCTGTTACTCCAGAGGCTTTCTGAGCAGCGGGGAGGCTGAGGGGGGCTTGCTCAATCCTATGTGGCAGACTTGCATCATGGCAAGCCAGCATCACAGCTGGGAGGAGAAGGCAGGAGCCCTGACACACTCCCTGGCATAGCTACGAGACCACGTGCCCTCCCCAAGCAGGGCACAGAGCCCAGGAGTCCTGTGCCACCGTCCCCTGCTCTAGCCCACAGCATCAGGCAGTGGTTTCCCAAAGAAGCCTGAGATCTCCCACAGGGCTATAAATACCCAGGCGCAGCCGGTGACCGGTGGCAGGGAGAATTCAGCCTCCAGTGGAAGGATCCAGCAGGGTGGGAGGGTGGTTCTTGTCGTATTGGAGGAAGCAGAAGACTCCCCCAGTGCCACAGCTGCCCGGCACCGCTGGGCAGGGAGAGCTGTGGGTGCTGGTGGAGTCTGTCCCACAGACCACATGGAGGAAGTGAAGTTTTCCCTGCAGGATGTGAGTAAGGTGGGAAGCTGCTGGCACGCCAGGATTCCCCCCAGGGCTGCCGGATAGGAGGAGCACTGAGATAATGAGGTAGAAATTGCTGCCCTTCTGTGAACCTCCCACCTGGCTCCCAGCAAAGCTTTCTGCTCTATCCAAGGTATTTACTGGGTGCCCATTACCAAAGGCTGGGCTCCTTGCAGGCCTGGTGTATTTAGCCCCTGGCTTAGACACAGGGCCAGGACTACTTGCCCAGGGTGCACAGGAAGCCTGGGGCAGAGCAGGAGTGTGACCCCAGGTGTCCCATGTCCTGGGGGCATCTAGCCTTGGGCTCTTCCTTCCCTCCTTCCTGAAATGCTGCAGCTGGATCTGAGTGTGGCTTCTTGCTAGTCCCATCAGGTCTCCCGCAACTGTGTACTGAAAATCCCAGTCCCACCTGCCCTGGGAGGTGCCCAGGGCTCCAGGCAGCAGCGAAACTCGGCAGGGATTAGTGGGGTCATCAGTCAGCTCCACCTCCGGCAGCGATTAGTGGGGTCATCAGTCAGCTCCACCTCCGGCAGCTGCTGGTGGGTCCGGTCCTATGCAGAGGGCAGGGCTTAATGTGACCTGGGATCCTGGTGTGAATGGGGGTTGGGTCAAGAGGGATGTGGACTCCCAGTGGATGTGTGAGTGGGGGGGGAGGCAGAGCTGGGAGCCAGGAGTTGTGGTCTCCAGTGCCCATCTGTAGCACATGATATCAGCTACTGTTTGCAGACTTCATAGGAGACAGGCTGAGGGGCCAAGCCCCGGTGTCCAGGTCCAGACAGACTTCCCTCCAGCCTGTCGGGGAGATGGAGGAGCTTCGCAGCCCAGAATGCCACTTGCAACCGTGGCGGCACCAGCTGCTTCAGCCAAAGGGCTGAAATATCTGTTCCCCTCAAGACAGCCCTGATGAGAGGTGGGCCCATGCCCTGATGCAGGAAGGTCTGCTCCCTTCTCTGTGCTGAGAAATCTAGGATCTGAAACTCTGACCCCTTGCCCAGCGCTGCCCCTTTGCACTTTGCCTGTCTCGTGATTCTGCCTGGGGTCTGTTGTCCTCTTGCACACAAATGGGGATTATATAAGATGAAACCAATTGTCTAGGAGCCGGTTTATTATGACTTGCAGATAATAATTACAGCTCAGCTCAGGTAACTCCCTCTAATGACGGGGAGGTTTGATTGAGAGTGCCTAAAGTGTTGTGGGGCAGCACATGGGAGAACAGACCCAGTGCAACACTCTGGAAAGTCGGGAGGGCAGGAAGCACAAGCGGTCTCGTTGCATCACCACTGCCGATGCCTGCTGATGTCATGTGTGAGGATGTGGCATGGGCCAGTGCCAGGGAGCAGGAGGGCAACTTGGGACACCTGGGTTCTGTTTCTATCCCTGTCCCCAACCTGGTGCGTCACCATGGGCCTGTCACAGCACTCCTCGGTGTCCCAGCTGATCTGTTTGCATCGTGGGGAGACTGAGGGCGCCTGCTAGGTGCAGCCTCAACTAGGCACTTAGGTGACCTGGGTGACTGTGGGTGACTCACTCCCCCTTCTTGTGCCTCTGTCACCCCTTTGGTAAAATACAGGTAATGCTGCTGCCCTGATGCTGGAGCGAGGATCACTAGTGAGCAGGAGACAGAGGGACACCTACAGCCAGTGGGACAGTTGTGCCACGTCACAGCAGCACGGGGATCGGGGCAGTCTGACACAGCGTGGCCTGGGATGGAGGGTCCTGCTGGCCCCTTGCTCTGCTGTAGTGAGGCTCCCCCAAGCTCCTCAGGTGCTTCTTGGCACATGGCTCCGGCTTCTCAGCCTGACTCCAAGCCCTGCAGGGGTATTCTGATCCCTTCAGGCCCCCCAGGGGCAAAGGGGCTCAATAGCTAGTAGAAATGAACCCAGCAGAGCCTGGGCCTTGGTGAGCCCACCCCGAGCCTTGATTGCAGGGTAGCTCATCCCTGGGGAAGGCTCAAGCCCTGGCAAGGAGGTGAGCTACTTACTGGAGAGGCTTTAGCAGAGCGATGTAGCCCCTCCGCCCCAGGCTGCCTGTGGTGTGAGCAGGGAGGAGAGTCACAGCAGGGGCTTTCTCAGGCCCCCACTCTGACGTGAGAGACTGCAGAAATCTGGGGAGCAGCACGGGGAGGGAGGCAGCTGGCATCATATTGCCACGGGAGTGGCACGCACAGATATGTCCTTCTAGCTCCTGGGTGGCCTGAGCTGAGACCTGCCCTCCTGTTCCTAGGGAGAGGGAACAGAGACCCAGCCCCATGTCTGGGGTGGGCTGCGACCAGTGCCCGTCCTGTGATGCGGAGCCGGGCTGGGGCACGGGAGGGGAGCTGCGGGCAGCCTGCGCACCAGGGCTTGGGCAGCACCGGGATGTAAGCGAGCCGTGCTTCCTGCGCTGGTCCCCTGGGCTGGCACATTAGCCTGCAGCACCAGCTGGGCCCCTTGCTCACCCCGCCCTTGGTGAGGGGGCAGGAGAGGGCTTCGCGCTGTGGAAGTGACCCCTGACTTGGCCTTTGCCCTCCCCAGCTGCCTGGCCAACCCAGCTGTGCCATCTGGAAAAGCCAAGAAGAGCAAAAAGAAGGTTTTGGAGCAGAAGAAATGGCAGAGCCTGGAAGAGACTAGGAGCGAAGTCTTGCAGCCAGGGAAACACGCCTTGCTCGCCAGGTGAGGTCCCTTCCTTCCCGAGGAGCTGTGGGCTCCCACAAACCAGGCTGCCCCCTCCTTTCATTTCTAAGGCCCAGAGCACCTCCCTGCCATCTCAGATGCCAGCAGACCCTGGGCCTGGCCTGCTGTCCCAGTGGCACCAGCTGAATTCACCACCTCTCAGGTTTCCTCTTGGCCCATTCTCTATTGCTTCCCTTTGCACAACCTTTGTGCAAAGACCATCCCCGCAGCCCATCCCCTCATGTTCCCCAGGACAAATATGCTTCCAGCGTGTGCGTGCCTGTCATGATCCTGTGGGTTTGGCCAGACTGCTCCACAGAGCCAGCCCTGCCATGCAGCACGTGTGCACACACATGCCATTGCACACACTCGTCTGCCTGCAGCTGTACCCCCTGCCTAGGGCTCTGCTGGTGTTGATGTTTGGCTCCTGGTTTCTTTCAGATCAAAGACCTATGACCCGTCCTACTCCAAAGAGCCTGAAAAGGACTTGGTCTTGGGAAAGCAAAAGAATTCCTCTTCTTCGGTGGGTCTCTGCCTGGGCTGGACTCCTTGCTCTGGGGCTGGGATGTGGGTGGGATGAGTTGGCTTTGCCTGCCCATGGGCATCGGGTTGAACTGGGACCTGGCCAGCTGCTGATGGGCTGGATCTCCTGGGCCCAGCGGGTGTAACATCGTCCCGCTGGGCCCTTCTCAAAGCCAGCCAGGACTTTTTCTGCATAAACACCCCCATGTTGGCCTGGCCTGGGCAAATGTTGCTGATCACATCTGCGGACTCTTCCCTCCACCCACGTGGAGTCAGGGGAGGGATGTGCCGTAGTTTCAAGGCAGATTTAGAGATTGCCCCAGAGCTATTGGGGCAATCCCCCAATATTGCCTCCCCCTATGCCGCGGCTCAGCCTAGGCCCCATGCTGAGACTTGCCAGCTGTGGGGCCAGATTGTGCAGGGCTGAGCGTCCCCTCTGTTCTGTCCCCAGCTGGTCAAGCGCATGGTGAGCTTCCACAAGGCCTTCAAGGACATCCCCGAGGAGGAGGCCCTGCTTGACAGTGAGTGCTGCTCCTCCTGCTCCCTACCACACTGGTGCTGCTCTGGCACTCCCGCTAATCCTGGCCCCCCTCTCCCTGGCCCACAGGTTTTTCATGTGCCTGGCAGAAGGAAGTGCCCTACCATGGCCGCCTCTACGTGTCGCAAAACTACATCTGCTTCCACTGCAGCATGCTGCTCAAGGACGTCAAGGTGCGACCCGCCGGGCTGGCAGCTGTCCAGGGGTCGCTGACCCCGTGCAGTGCCCCGGGGGCTCTTAGCACCTGTTAGTAGTGTGAGTCATGTGGGAAAAGTGTGTGTGTGTGTGTGTTGGGGGAGTTGTCTGGGGTGAGTGTGGGACTGTGGGGAGCAGTGAGAGTAAAGAATGGAGGATTGTGTTGTGGGGGAGATGGCACTTGGTGTAGTGCGCAGGGCGATGGGGTGGGGTGTGCTGTATGGGAGGATGGTGGTTGTTGCATGGTGTGCGTGTCGTGTGGGGGAAGTCAGGTCATGGGGGAGGGCTGTGTGTGGCGTGATGGGACAAGAGTGCATGTTAGCAGGGGACGGTGATGAACTTGGAGGGGGTGCTGCTGGGGATGGTGGCATGTGTAGGGGGGTGTGGTATGAGGGGGTGGGGGCACATGGAGTGGTTTGGGGCACACTGGTGTGTGTGCACGGTGCATGCGGTGTGGAGGGTTGATGGTGTATGAATGGTGTGGGGGGGGTGTAGTGTGTTGAGTGTGTTGTACCGGGAGGGTGCTGTGTGAGTGTGTGTGGGTGGTGTGTACAGGGGAAACAGTGGTGTGTCGGGTATGGGGATGGCGTCGTGTGTGTGGGCTGGGGGCTTGGGTAGTGTGAGAGGATGTTGATGCATGTGACGTGTGGGGGAGAGCCTAAGGGGTGGAGGACAGTGTTGTGGGGTCAAGGGATGGCGGTGTGTGGTGTGGACAGTTGTGCATGGGTTTGTATAGTTTATCTGTCCCCTCGCCCCCGTGGGCCAAACCCTCTGCCTGCGGGCTTGGCCCCAGAGCTGTTCTCTTCTCCCCGCGGCTGCCCTCAGGACGTCTAGCTTGGCAGCAGGGGCCTGTTAGCTTGGCAGAGCGTTGTGATGGCTCCCCATGGCGGGCAGAGCCTGCAGCAGCTGCCCTGGAAAGCGGTGAAGACCCTGCTGAGTCCTCATGCCGCTCCCTGTCCAATGCAGCTGTGTGATGGGCCTATGATCTCAGAGCTTGCGGAGTGGGCACTCGATCTCCCTGCAGCGGGTCTGTGCCAGGGCTACGGCAGGGGGCCAGAGCGACAGCTCAGTGCCGGGGGTCTGCTTGAGGGACCTGGTGCTCTCATCTGCGTGCTGCAGGAGCCGGCCACAGCTCATGCTCAGGACGGTTTGCCAGCGCCGAGGGTGGCAGCCCTGAGGGGGCTTCAGCCTTCCTGCACCGGCCTGGCCCCTCCGCTGACACAGGCAATGGTGGGGGCCGACTCCTCCAGCCTGCCCGGTGCCCGCAGGAGGGATTCTGGAGCCCCGGCCGCACTGGGCACGTTCCAGGCTTCTCTGTGCCAGGCCTGTGCTCCCCACCCCATCCCCGCTGCAGGGTTTGATGGATTCAGCATCGCGCCATTAACCCTTTGCTTATTGCTCTTCTATGCTGGCTCAGGTGGTGATTCCTGTCTCATCCATCACCATCTTCAAGAAGGCCAACACTGCGCTCCTGGTGCCCAACGCGCTCAGCATCCGGACGGTGGAAGGCGAGAAGGTAAGAGCAGGTGTGAATTGTGTGGCACCACATCCTCAGGGCCTCTGGAGCAGAGCATGCCCTGTTCTTGGCAGCAGGCAGCTGAAGTTTGGCAACATGGCAGAGCTCCTTGCTAAGCATCGGCAAAGACGAGGCCGGAGAGACGGGCTGACGGGGTGGGAGAAGAGCGAGTGGGAGCCTGGGGAGAGGTGGCAAAGTGGTGCCAGTGTTACAGGAGGGGAAGCAGTGAACACAGGGAGGAGGGTTGTGGAGACAGTTGGTGGTTTGGGTCCAGCAAATGCAAGGAAATGTCAGGAGGGAAATTGGTTTGGATTGAACCAAATTTCTTTGAAAGATGTGGGTTGTTTCCCAAACCAAAATGGATAACAAGAATGCTGTTTCCCTTTGACCCTGGGGCTGTGGCCCTTTCCCAGGAGGTGATGCACAAAGTCTCACTGCCCGCCTCTGCCTGAGAGGTTGAACTAATATCACCCACCTCCCAGGAGAGCCCTCCTGGCAGGCCGCGCGCGGCTGTGGGCTGGGGGTGCTCCCAGTGAGGCTGCTCAACTGTAACATGCTTAACTATCCGCTGAAACAGAGTGAGAGGCAGAACAGCTGTCCGGCCCAGTGGTTAGGCCATTCCCTGGGAGTGGGACCTGGGTTCCCGTTCCAGCACCTGCTAAATTACCAATTCACGTTGAACATTGAGCTCACCCCGGCACGGTGTGTTCCCTGGGCATCTGGCGCTCTCCTGCAAGACGTGGGTTTAAATCCTGGGCAAAGCCGTGACCTGAGCCCAGCCCTCCCGCTTGCCAGGAGAGTGCTCCAAACCCTGGGCTGTTGGATCAAGGGAGGCACCTGTCTGGCCCTGAGAAATATTTTCCAGCAACATTTGGCCAATTTGACCCAAATTCCCGAGCACTTTGGGGACCATGGAAACTGCAATTTTCAACAGATGTACTGGTTGCTAAAAACCACCCCTGGCTCCGGGCGGGAGGGTCTGGGGGGAGCAAGCGCTGCAGAAGCGGCTCTCCAGTGGAGTCCGGCCAACACTGACCTGTCCCCTGCCCTACCTGGGCAGTTTCTCTTCGTGTCGCTGCGCACCCGGGAAGCCACCTACCAGCTGCTGAGATCAGTCTGCAAACACCTGCAGGTAGGGACCGAGCCGGCTGCCCTCATGTCTGGTCTCCATGTCCCTGTCCCGCCTGTACATTAATACTCATGGGGAGGTGGGGCGGCGTGTCCCTGTGTGGCTAGTGCTGGCCAGCTGCCGTCTTGCACAGCACTGCATGGCTTGCAGCCCACTACCCCCCACTGCCCCTCTGGCGTGTCGCCTCGTGGGGCTGCCGCCCCTCCATCCTGACCCCCAGGGGCTCCTCTCATGGCTGCAGCTCTGGGGAGGCCCCTCAGCAGCCCAGACAGTTCATCTGCTCCCTTTCCTCACAGCTCGGCTGGAGCCCCTCAGGCCTGGCCCTAGCGCACACACTCTGCAGTTATCTCTGAGCCAGAGGGGGGAGATGAGGATGAAATCCCCGGAGGTGAATGCTCCTGGGGCTCCTTGTTTGGGGGAAGCATCGCCCAGCAGCTGCATAGAGCCCCCCTTGGCCTTGGTGACCTGGCGTATGTCCCCACTGTGACCCCCCGACTTCTTGTTGTTCTAGGACGAGAGCAGGAACAGCAGCCCCACAGCCACACCAACCATCGCCAGCCCCGAGCACCTCCTCAAGAAGCCTCTGGTACGGCTGAAAACACCCGCTCTGCCCTGACTAGCGGCTGGGCACTAGGCCAAGGGGTCTAGGCTGGTGCTGCTGCTGCTGGCACTGGTTTCATTAGAGCTGGGGGTGCTGCTCCAGGAGTCTGGCAGGGGCCCCACGCTCTAGCTGGACCTGCTGTGCTGGCTGGTCCAGACCCTGCTGCAGGCTCACACAGGGCAGGTGCCTTATTTCCAGCCCTTTGCTCAAGGCACTGACCTGGCTTGGGCCCTTCCTAGGGCCACCCACCAGCTGGGGGCTCTCCCTGAACTACTGCTGCCTTGCCCGGGTCCCGGGCTGGGAGTGGAGCTGGCTCACTGGGCAGCAGTGCTGGTGATGCCTGTGCTTTGCTGTGGGATCTTTGCCCTCACCTGCCCATCCTTTGGGCTGCCCTGGTTTAAAAGACCCCGTGGGGAACCTGCACCAGCCTGGCTGCCAATTCTAAGAGTGCCAGGATGGGAGGTGGCTCCAAATCCAAGCCCAAGGCTGACCCCAGCCTCCATGGCAGCCCTCTCTAATGAGGGATCACCCCTTACCCCATGCTCAGGCATGACTGACACCCAGGATCTCATTGCCAACATCTTTCAAGTGCTTGGAAAGGGCTCCAGGACCCTCTTTCATGGCTCCCAAGAGAGATGCCAGAGAGCCAGGTCCCCGGGTGGCTCAGGAAGCGCCAGGTGAGGAATCTCCAGAGGCAGCAGGGCCCTGGCACCAGCCCAGCATTTTGGAGGCCCTGGGCCTGTCCCCTTTGCCAGGAAGCCTGGCTGTGTTGGATCCTGCAGGCTGTCACCCCTCCTCGCTTTTGCTAGTCAGTACCAAGCGTCAGGAGTGATGGGAGAGATGGGGAGGGCTGGGTGGCAGCAGTGGAAGGAGGGAGCAGGGCTCCTCTGTGACCAGCGACATTTCCTCTTTCAGACCTCAAGCCAGTCAGACCTGGAACACAACCCGCAGGAGACTGACAGCCTCCTGGACACGCCAGGTGAGGCTGGGCCCTCCCTGCTGGGTACCTGCTTCAGCACCCTGGTACACTGACCCCTCTTGCCTTCACACGTGTGCCTGCACACAGCTCAACTCTCATTCACTCACACTCATTTCCATGTGTAGCCATACTAATGAGAGTTCACTTGCACAACTATTGTCTGTGCATGTACATGCACATTTGCACACAGGCTGCATGCTCAGCTGTATGTGCATTCGTGTGCATATGTCTTTGCACTCATGCATGCTCATTTGCACCCATGCACGCTCATTTGCACATGCAGAAAGCCTCGCTCACAGGCAGGCACATGCACTTTGGTTCCTATTTGCAGTCTTTCACATTCTGCACCCAGTTTGGGAGCATGCTTCTCCTTGAAAATGCACTCATTTGCACAGAACCATGCTGCTCAGAGCCATGCTGTGCCCATCAGCCACACAGCCTGACTTTCATGCCAGGACCATCACCCAAGTGTTCTGGCTGGAAGGAGTCTGACCAGCCTGCTCCACAGCCCCTTTGGGGAGGCACAACCATACACACACACACACGCATGCAGCACCCCTCTCTCCCTTCCCACTCCCACTGTCCTGCAGTCACCAGAGCTCCTGACTGCAGGCTCTGTGTGCCAGGTCTAGGAACATGGACTGCCCCAGCCCACACTGGAGAGCAGGATCCCTCTTACGTCAGTGCCTGCGGTCACATATGTCACTGCCCTGCCCTCCCCAGCTGGTGCACTGACCTCCCTGGGTGGGGGGACACCCCTGCACTTGGCTTCTGCTGGGCACGTGGAGCACTCAGTGAAGGGGATCCTGTTGTGTGTGCAGATGGGCCCAGGCCAAAGCAGAACAGGATGAAGGAGGATGTGGGCAAGCACTCAGTGGCTCTGAGCAAAGGTGAGCGGGCCCTCTGGGCCAAGAGTCACAGCCCTGGGGTGGGTGAGGGTGGGGGCCACCTCCGCAGGCCCTGTCCTGCTGGGCACTGCACCACCCACCCTGTGGGGATGTGTCACCAGGCCACCTCCCCAGCACCCATCCTTTGCACAGACACTAGGCATCAGCTCAGCTGGCCCAGGAGATTGCAACATGTGCTACTCTGAATAGTGGGAAACAGGGTCTCCATTGGTGCCCCCCAGTGCCAGCTTGTCCTGCAAACCCTATGTGTACCCTGGGCTATGTGTTCTTCTCTGTCACAGTGACTGCTTGACAGTGGCATGGCCATGCCCCCTTGCTAGGCCTGCCACAGCTTTGAAACCAGGTGCTAACCTGCTGTCAGTCA